ACATTTCAAGTAGTATGATAAGGAAAGAAAAGCATACCAATATCCCTTGTGGTACAGCTGAATGCTGAGAAACAGCAAATTCCCAATCAGCTAACTGACTTTCAGAAGGCAAATTTCCATGCACTTAAAAAAAAATGAAAAAGAAAAATGGAAAACTACACATTAAATTGCAGAAATAGGATGTTCAAGTAAATGTAAGATGATTGCATATAAACTTCTTTAAAAAATAAAATAAAATAAAATAAAATGATGATCAAGACTTTCACTTTCTACCCTGTACCCATAATAAATAAATAAGTAAATAATGAGACACTATAGAATTCATTAATAGGAAGAAAGCTCATCACATCAACTCTAACATGTTGTGAAGTAAGGAATTCTCAGTCTCACTCCCCAAAATCTCCAGAAGCCGTGCATGGTACGTTCCCAAAATACGAATTTTCTGTCTCCTTAGCCCTTGCAAGAAACGAAATCACCATTCCCATCCCCTTATTTTTGCTTCCCCGTTGCCTCCCACTCTTTTCTTCTTTGTCCTATCTTATTGCCAATAGCAATATCTTGTTTTTGTTTCCTTCCTCATAACAAATCTCGGGTTTTACTATCTTTCCTTCTTTAAAGCCCTTCCTTCGGAAACCCTGTTGCGTCCGTTTCCAGAGCAAAGCCAAAAACCCCTCCGCCTGCCTCTTCCTTTTTATCCATACAGGTGAAGTTTTCCTATATATTCCTCTTGTGATATACCCTTCTTCATTTATCAAATCAAACCCGTTTCTTTTTTTTGGGGAGGACTGTTTGGTTAGTGGGGAATCAGGATTTTTTTTTTTTTTTTTTTGAAGATATGAAGAAGGAGGATCAAACAAGGTCTCTATTTGGGATTTCCCTCTCTGATCGACCCAAATGGCAACAATTCCTCATTTGCTCATCTGGATTCTTCTTTGGCTACCTCGTTAATGGCATTTGTGAGGTTTGTTCTGTTCTTGTTTTTTTTTTGCCATTGCTTGACCTCTAGGTAATTTACTATCAAAGGACTACATGACCGATGACCAAAGACCGTACTATTCTTTCGCCTTGTACTAAAAAACAAATATAATTGTGAAGGATGGCAAAAAAAAAAAGGGGCAATTTGCAACCTATTAGGGTTAGTCCTTATTACTTATAATATTTTTGTGACCCTACCGATAACCGTCATTGGAATTAAACCTAATTCACCCATTTGCTAGGCCTAATGGTTTTTTTTTTTCTTTTTGAACATTCGTGAGGACTTGTATTATTTAATCAGCAATAATTTACATCAATATACAAAAGATTACATAGCATTGTAGGTGGATTGATGGTCCCGTAGAAAGGGCACGTATCTTTAAGACACTGTTTGGTTACCTAATCAGCTACAGAATTAGCTTTCCTATATACATAGTTGAATTCACAAAAAAAGAAAGGCTTGCACAACTCCCATATGGATAGCACCAAAGGTTCAATTTGCCAAGGCAAAGAAACCTTTTTGTTAATGACTTGCATGAGCTCCTTCTTGTCAGATTCAAAAATGATTTCTTTGAGGCCATTTCTAGCTGCCCAACCTACTACAGCTCTTAATGCAAGAGTTTCGGCCATTAAAACAGAACTCTGATTGTTTGAAGGCATAACTATCAACAAGAATGCCTTTACTATTGCCACAGACCACGGCCAGCCCTGCAACACCATTTTTAACATCCATAGCTGCATCAGTATTATATTTAACAATATCCTCCGGTGGTGGACTCCACCATTGTAATTTATCTTCTAATCCATCCTTAAGATGTAGCATTGTTGGAATGAGAGGGTCTTTATCATTTTCTCTACAAAACTCAATCACTAGAAACATGGCTTTTTGAACTACCATTTGCGGTTGCAATGTATGGCCTTGAAAAATACCTAGATTCCTGTTTTTCCAAATATACTGAACAAACAAACAGTTTCTTCCATATTATTTGGAAAACCCTTATCCCACTAAGAAGAAACAAAACTCCACCAATTAAACCATCTCAAAAATAGATGAAATAGAAGGACAAAGGGCTAAACGAGAGGCAAACCAAGTTCGAGCATCATATTGACAAGTGAACAGCATATGAGTAATAGGCTCACCATCCCCACCACAAAGATCGCAAGCAGGGCTCCCCACCACACCCTTATGAAAAAAATTGATTAAATC